AGAGGAGGTTCGTGAAGGAATTAATATTCCTTTTAAAGGAATTTACCTACACAAATTTATAAGAGTCGGTAGGCTGTAAAACTCTGAACACTGTATGGTACAAAATACAGGAAGGTGGCACAATGCCATACAAAACTGCGACCCTCTACTAGGAGATTCTCTATACAAGGTGGCTGAGCGCTCCACCTTCACTGTCTCACAGATTTTAATATCAAATGTGCAGAGTGTTCAAATGAAACATGCATATGTATTTTAGATTTCAGCTCTGGAAATTCATGCTGAGATCTGAGAGATAAATGAGATTATTGTTGGCATGTATAAGTATTGTACAGTAGCTAGATACATTAAATATTTCTCCTTTCCAGTAATTATGTCTACAGATTTCCCAAAGAAACGCTAAAACTCTGTGAAACTTGATACAGGCTGTGCTTCAGCTGGCATGACCCACAGCTCCACTACAGGAGTCTCCTCCTGTAGCTATAACTGACAGGGAGAGTGTTTATAAGCTTGAAGGACAAGATCAATTCTCACAGTGTTTTTGACCCCATTGCCAACAGAGGTGCCTCTAAGGAAGTCTTATCCATAAAGGAACGTGCCAGGAAGTAGACATGTTCACTTGGAAGTAAACAGAAAACCCTTTTTCCATCCCTTACACTTCTCAAAAATTATATGATCAATACTGGTAATCACATCATAGCAAATAATACAAAAAATACTTTAAATACTTTCAATTAATACTCCACTGAGGACCTGAAAATAGATCCAGCTGTAATCCATTCACCCCACCTTTCCTAATCCCTGAATCACCACATTCCTCCTGATTTAGTTCTTAAAATTTTCGTAACATTTGAGGAAAGTATATTTAAATACTGATTTGCTACTTGAAAGGTAGAAAGAGCACAGTCTCCTTTGAAAATACTGTATGAAAGGTGTCTAACACAGCTTTCTCTCTCTGTAGTGTCTCAGGGACTGCTTTATTCCCAAAGTTGTTGTGCCCTTTAGTCCAAATAACATCATTTTCTTGTGTTTCCCATCTGCAGCACAATGGCTGATAGCCAATCACAGCATTTTGCATTGAAATGCCAAGGATATGCTCTAATTGCCTCCCTAACAAAGACCTTGATCACATCTGAATTCCAGGATTTCTGAAGGCAATTTTTTCATGGCATCAGCCTATTTGTTTCTGACTCATTACCCCTTCAGCACTGCTAACCTTTCACTCCTTTGTGTCCCAGACATCAACAGAACATTTTAATCCAAAATGAAAATTAGGAAGGTAACAAAGTCTTGAATGACACAGTTGAGTAATTTCTATCCAGCACAGTGTTTATCGGCATAACAAGTTGTTTCTCTATGAAAAAAATGTGGTAACTTGTGAGGACTTCTTCTGAAGCGCAGTTGAGCTTCATAAAAAAGCCTAATCCTCCTCCCCAAATCTTTGCCATTTCTAGAACTGCTCAGTGGTATGTTTGCTGTCTAGTGAAACTGTCTCTATAGTTTACAAGGTTTCTGTGCGACTGAAATAGCAACAAAGGCCACGTGCTGAGCCCCTGGATGGGTGTGAATTCACTTTGCAAGAAAACAGTTGCCCCACAAATGAACTTACCTAAAACAGCCAAGGAAGTTTAAAGTTAGTACCTAAGATGTGAGCAGGGACAAAGATTCCCTTGCAGGAGAGTCAGTGGCTTTGCCTCCCCTCTCTGCGCTGTTCCACATGGAAAAGACCAGGGTGTGGGGTACAGTATGCCAGGTTTAGCTATACATCACCAGGACGTGCTTTGTATCACAAATTGCCAAATTCTGCCCAGTCCAAGGCAACAGCTGTGGTACCCGGAGTCCAGATGCAGCTTTTATTTGATTTCAGTGCTGTGGGAGCACCAGGGCTGAGGTGGGCTCTTGTCATGCCAGCTTGCTTCTCCTGCCCCAGGAGACGTCAGGCAGGGCAGAAGCAGGCAAAGCTGGTGGGTCTGTAGCAACCAGAGGACCAATACCCTATGCAAGCATTTCCCACCGCCTTGGGAGATGCGGGCGAAAAGAGGTGTGACAGAGCCTTACAGAAAGAGTGATGGACAGAAGAGTGTGACTGTGGCCCTCTAAAATCAGCCAGGTTTTCATTACCTGGGGTGGGCATCAGATCAAGCTGGTTGCTTTAAATAATGCTGTTTATATGCCAGCATCAGGCTACTGATAGTTCTAGATTAAGTGCATACACAAGCCAGGGAAATAGCAAATGCTCTTGTTTGTCAATGTGAAAGCATAGTTCAAGACACAGGCATCGTACCTCAGTCTAGATGTTTGTTCCATAAATATCTGGCCCATGTAAAAAGTTTAGTAAAGAAGAAAATCTAATTTACAGTAAAAAGACATAAAAAAAGACATACAAAAGACATACAAAAGACCTTAAGACTCCACAATTTATATTCCCCCTAAATTCCCCTGGAGACACCAAGGATTGCCTTACGGACACCAGTATCCCAAAGTGCTCCATTTCTGTGCTGATTTGTACTACCTGCCTTATTGTTTTTGCCTTCAACACTATCAGTTCTGTTGCACTTTTCCTGTTTTGGAAAGTCTCTAGGTCTCATGACATTTTTAAGTGACCTTTGTATAGAGTGAAAGTGCCAAACACTAGGCTCCTAATAGCATATCTGCATTTAATTAGGAATTTAAAAACTCAAAGCTACCATTATTTCAATCCCAAATCTCTGGAAAAATAAATGCAATTAAAAGTTCCATATGGATAAGAGGAGAGAGATGGGTTATGTCACAGAAAAGGAGAAGATAGTAAATAAATAAATAAGGACTAGGTGAGCAGTCCTTTGTTTTTAGTTTTGTTCCTGTTTCCAGATCTGGAAAAAACCACAGTTTGTACCAAAGTGAGTGTTTATTTCCTTTTCTCAAGGAAATAAAAAGCTGAAAAGTGGTATTTTCTTGGGGATTAACATTTTCCATTTAAACTCAGAGAAGCATTTACAGGTTGGAGCCAGAAAAGCAAAGGAAATACAGCTTGTTTGCAGCAGTAACTACTCCTTTGCCTGTGGCTCAGGGGCAGGAGACAAGCTCTGCTTGAAAGGCTCTGGATGGCTTCCACCCTCCGAGAGCCAGGCCGGGGCGGGCAGCTCCAGCAGCCATACTGGGACCATGTTGCACTGCAAGGGGAGGGATTGAACAGCTACAGTGAAAAAAAATCCAGATTCCTAAGTCGGTTTCAGGCTATCACAGTTTCTGAGCTGTAAGGAATGTGTTTTCAGCTCTCTGTTAAGAGTCTAGCAGAATAAACTGGAAGCTCACGTACAACAACAGTTCACGCTGTATGACTGTTCTTATGGGAGCCTGGTGGATGGTCTTCACTTAAAACGTGATTACAATCTGTTTGCAAAAGATGATAAAAGGGGTATCATGCTACCGCCATTCCTTGTTACAGTCACTGAGGACTTGGAGTCACAGGAACACTGACACTCACAGAGGCAAGTTTTAATGGTAAGGCTAAAGATGGGGAATTTGTTCCTCCATCTAGGTTAGAGACCAGGATAAACTCTTCCTTAAAACTGCTGTCCATAAATCTCACAGCCTTCTCTCACAGCTCTTATTTTCTAAGATTTATCCTGTTTGCCTTCTGGCAGCTGCCTCCAGTTAGTCTGCATCTACATAAAAGCGTGTCCAAAGCTGGACACAGTCTCTAGTTTTTCCAGTGATGAGTAGAGAAGAAAGGTGGCATTTACATTTTGCATTTACATACAATATCCGTGTCTTATCTGCTTGGCTACACTAATTTAGATTCTGATGTTCAGGATCTTTCCCAGCCTTGAGAATTCATATTCTTGACTGTAAAACCAGTAGGTAAAGGTTCGCATCATCACTGCAGCTCCTAACAAGCCAAAATAAACACACATGCCTCTCACAGTTGTTTTAACCCCACAGAGAAGGGAGAGAAAGCCCTCCGTGATGGCATGGAGGCAATGAGAAGGGATGAAATACTCCATGTGGTTAGCATGAATGCTGTGGTGTTACTGAAAACCAGTTCATGGAGAAAAAAATTAATAAGCTGCTACAGTGCTTTTTGATTAAATAGGTTTGGTTCGTCTGGTTTTAACTTAGTTAAAAGCACAGAGTAAGTGCAATGGGAGGAATGAACAGCTTAGCTACTCAGCCAGGCTTGTTACCAAACTCTACCCAACGAAATCGCCTTTATGTGCTTAACATTAAGCACATGGTTAAAAGCTGTGCTAGAAATAGAGTGGATTGCTGAGCACTTCCCAAAATGAAGCCATCTAGCCTTAAGGTTTCTGCAGTTCATTCACACCTGCTCTACACTTTGTTTCACAGTTTGAGAGCTGTTTGGCAAAAACCCATGGATTATATTCTGACAATTTTTTCCTCTGGTAGCTGTTCTCTTCCAAATAAATGCCAGGGTATAAAAAGTGGTACTGGAAGAAGTATAAACATTTTGGGATGAGAATGAAACAAAGAGGTGGTAAAACTATGAGGCTGAAACAATAAATTACATTGAAAGTAAAAAATCCTGGTGGTAAAGATGATTCAGCAATAAAATCTTTTACAGGAAAGGAATATTGAATACATGAGATGAGATTTTTTACACATATCAAGGAAGCAGTGTTAACCCACTCCTGGAGGCAGATCAGTTGTGTTTTACCATTTTACTCAGAAATAGTCAGACCATTTATGCAGACAGGAACAACAGAAAAGATGGCACCATCCAAGAAAGAAAACATAAATCAATCATGTGGAGAAAAACACTCAGTTTTATGTGTTGAGAAGCTTTTATTGGATCACCACAATACTTTGGATTAGTTACACTATGGCTCTGAAATATCAAATTATAGTGTAGTCATTTTCCCAATAAAAGGAAATAAGAAAATAAAGAAGCACAGTGCATGAGGATTTGGTGACTGAACTAAGCCGAGTTTTAAGAGCCAGTCCCAGTCTGGTGCAGAGGGAATTTCTTCA